CACACACACACACACACACACAGAGAGAGAGAGAGAGAGAGAGAGAGAGAGAGAGAGAGAGAGAGAGAGAGAGAGAGAGAGAGAACTTGAAGATGTGAAGATTGGGCTTGAGCATTAGGCTCAGCTACAGCGCTGCCTGGTTGCAGCGCCCTTCTTTCCAAACGGTCGTGCGCATTTGACACTACTGCTAGCGCACACCCAGCAGCACGCGAGCGCTGGCTACAGACTCTCGGAGAGAGAGAGCAGCTAAGGAGAGCAGTTGCGCACAGCCTGCACACAGACGCACTCTGAAGACTGGAGACAGAGAGGAGCTAGAGAGAGAGAGAGAGAGAGAGAGAGAGAGAGAGAGAGAGAGAGAGAGAGAGAGAGAGAGAGAGAGAGAGAGAGAGAGTCAGAACATGAAGATATGAAGATTGGGCACCAGCATTGGGCTCAGCTACGGCTCTGCCCGCTTCCAGCGCCCCTGTTTCCAGACGGCCGTGCGCACTTGACACTAGTGCTACCGCACAGCCAGCAGCACGCGAGCGCTTGCTAGAGACTCTTGGAGAGAGAGAGCAGCTGCGCACACCCTGCACACACACGCACAGAAAAGACTCGGATCCAGAGAGCAACAATTTTTTTATTTTTTTCCCCCGCGACGTGCATGGCTTAGTCTTTGAGACAAGCATATGACCACTGGCAGGATCAACAGGGTGAAAACAATTGACCATTTCTCGATTTATGCATGTCATCCTTTCGCAGGGGCCATGCTAATCTCCTCTGTATCGTTCCAATTTAACTGATGTCCCGAACGGCTCACCACCGATTTTGGGCTCTAGCGAGTGGTGCAGTGCGGCTGTTTTGTTCCCTTTGTCCATGTCGCTGCAGCAATTGTATTTCGTACTATGTCCTGTGTTTATGCTGGCTCCTCTTGGAGTGCAGGGAGCCAGCTATCCGCAATTTTGTTTTTCTATTTTTTTTTCCCGATTACCTCCATCATTGTTCTTTTTGTTGTCAGTTTTTGTCGTGTCCACTGGAAGTGCTATTATGCGCCAGCTGTCTGCTGCTTTGTTTTTTGTCTTTCCTTTTTTTTAAAGAAAGAGAAAAAAAAAGAAAAGAGTGGCGCACAAGTTCGTGGGGACCAGCATGTTCTGGGAACCGGGGCCAGCGTCCCTCATGAAATTATGCAGGAAATTTTTGAAATACCGGGCCATTACCCGCCTCCGGCTAAATAATGCTGATGGTGGTCCATTCTGGAAAATGCCTCATGGACCACTACTAACCTCCCATCTACCGAACCCCCACATTCCAAGTTATGGCACAGGCCTAACCTAAATCAGCCATAGATGTCCTGTTCGTAATGCCAAGCCTATACCCGGCCTCACGCTCCCAACATGCTAGGTTACAGGGCAGCGAGACCCACCCCAGCTCCAGCCATCGTTGGCCTGGAAGTCACCCCCCCGATTAGCCGCTGGATTGTCTTCCACCCTCGACGAATCCCCAAATCTCTCTACCAGGCCTCACCCTCCTGCATTCTTTTCTTGTTTTTTTTAACAACGAAACCAGACATTGCCCCATTCACTCGTACCCAAACTAGGATCTAGGAACCGGACTCAGTAGGGATGAGAGGAAGGGGTCAGGGAAGTATGAGAAGGGGCACATAGGGACAGTAGGTTTCACTGTTGATCTTTGCTATCCCCCGCACTGCCCAGCGTCGTTCTGACATTGGCTATAAACTAGAGCACTGATCAAAGCAGCTCTGTCTGATATCGGATAAGCCTCTACCGCCACTTAAATCCTGGATCCCGTTTCCGTAGAAGCTCGCAGTGATCCATGATTGCTGATGGTTTTTTTTATGGAGATCATGCGCAACTCTTAGCCTCACATATGCCCAACCCTACATTCAAGAGGCAATATCGGCCTCACTGATATCAGCCATAGCTGTCCCGTTCTCACTACCAAGACTATACCTGGCCTCACGCCCCTAACATCCTAAGGTCACAGGAAATTGCACCGGAGCAGGTGGCTGCATGGGAAGTGTCACATGCCCTGTGAGAGGGACTGCGAGGGAAGTGCGACAGACAATATAGGCAAGCGAACCCTCTTCCTGGGAGGGGAATGGGGATGAAAATTTCGACAACATGACAAGAAGAATGAGAAGGAGGAGGAGGCGGAGGAGGAAGTGGAGGAGGACAAAGAGGAGCCCGCGACGATTTATGAGGAGGAGGAGGAGGAGGAGGAGGAGGAGGAGGAGAAGGAGGAGGAACAGGAGCCTATGGCCTGTGTAGCATCGTGTTCGGGTTCGGTGACCGAACCCGAACGTTCGGGACCGAACGCGAACGAGCGCCAAAACTCTCCGAACGCAAACAATAAAAAAAAAAAAAAAAAAAAAAAAAAA